GTATGAATTTACAGCGTGAATAGAAATCAAGAGAGTTAAATTTAACAATCTTCTGATATAATTCTCTATTACGATTCCTATTTTTACACGAAGTCGCTCCTTAAGAAAACAGGAATTGTAACAGAGAATTACATCAGAAGATTTGAAACGTTATTAAATTTAACTCTCTTGATTTCTATTCACGCTGTAAATGTATACCACAAGCGATTGAAAAAATTATTTCACCATCTATGAACTTGCGAGCATTGCGTTTTTAATTTTATGTAATTTCTTTTTAGTAATTTTTTTATGTAAATTTATTTTATTATGTGATATTATTGTAACATCTTCGGACTAGCGATTTTTGCTTAATTAAAATCTATTTTGTAAGTTTTTTATTTTTTGTCATCTTGTTTGTACTGATGATGGTCAAATCTTGACCGAAACATCTACTTATTTATATGTGAATTTTAAATATATGACTTGCGTTAACATCTATTGTTGTGGCTGAATACTTTATTCTTTTTTATTTACCAGTTTTGCGAAATAATATATTTACATTAAATCAAACATTCCTTACATTTAAGCATATAATTTCTTGTAATATGAAGAATAATCACGTATTTCTTATTGTTAAATCTATGCGCGGATCGTCCGGTGGCTAGAATTTATGGTATGATTGTAAGTCAAAGAATTAGATCCAATCTGCTCATTAGACCCACATGTAAATCCTCGACAATATTTTGGCATTAAATAGGTTTAGTAAGTTTTGGCGTACGTTCGCGTATGAATATACATGGCTACTTAGTAAGCTTCCGCGGCAGTTTATGCGAAACAAGGAATTAACATAATATGCCATAAATAACACGAGTCATTGTTACAATAAGTGCGTTCGTTTAATAAACAACAGTACTTTTATCTTTAATGAATTTCATTAGCGTTCTGAAATATAATATCAAGACATGCATTCTAACAGGCCACAATCGTTTCTTTCCAAAAGATCCAAGACCGTTCTTTGTAACAATGCGCAAATAAGAGTAGAACGATGTTTTGCTTTTCTTAACAGAAATTAGCGTCCTATAATTAATTTGACATTACGACGCATGATGTAAGTTTCTCTTTTCTTTTTTAATTTCAATTCAATTCACTGGAGAAACAAGTTGGCCGATCGTCAAAAAATACGATACGAATTTTCCAGTTTCCAGCAGATACGCTCGCGCGCGTTTACTCATTAAGCCGACGTGTTTTAACTAATTGATGTCCATATACATATAATAAACTCAGGATCGCAGGCTGTTTCGTTATGTAAATTCACCGAACTGTAAAATAATTGAAACGCCTGTGCAGCATGCGTAACGTTAGCTTGCTGGCGTACCACAGCGAGATATTGTAACTATGCACGACCGATGCAATTGATTCGCGTGAACAAATCCCTTCGGCGCGGGTGTAGCCTAAATTAGAAATTTACGAAGGCAATGGCGCGGATAATCGGCACTGTATGACAAATAATTTTGGATGTTTTAATTAGCACGCGTTTCTCTTACCGCACTGAAGACATCGCCTGACGTCGCGTTATGTCAGGCTTTTATGCCGTACAACCACCGTGACTTTAAGCGGAAGAAAAAAAATAGGAAGAGACACGGTGAGAGCAAAGGAAAGAAAAAAAAGAAGCTCTTGGCCGGCGATATAAATAACACTGCTTTTTGCGCCAGTTAATTAATGAACGGTTTTATCGCCCATGCGGCGCGACGTGGCAATGCGCGAACAAATGAGAGCATGGTAATAAAGGTCGGTTATGAAAATCGTGAAAAATTCACAACGCGTGCAAAATAATGATTAAACTTGATATCCGGCATATATACATTGCTTTGCATTTTTTAATTTGTATAGCGATGCTATCAAAATTGCACCAGAGCGTCGCAAATTGGCAACACACTTTAAATTTTTCTACTTCTTTTTGTATCAGTGAGAAACTTGAACTCGGAATTTAAAAAAAAGTGGAATAATAAGATCAAAGGCAGAAAAGTAATTTTATTACTCTTCTTCGTTATACTGAAAAAAATTACTATATTTTAATAAGTTTTTTAAAAATATTTGTAAGTAAACATTTACTTATAGTATAAATAAATATTTACTTAATGAAAAAAAATGATATAAATTAAATCGAATTAATGGTTTTCGTATCAAATAAATATATGTTAACATTTAGTAAATGTTTACTTGTAAATATTTGAAAAAATACAATATATCATGAAGAGTTCCAAATATCTCAAGACTCTCACAACTCCCGCAACTCCCGCGTGTCCTCCTGGTGAACAATATATTACAAGATGTCGCGTAGTTTACTGAGTTTAAAGGTAATTATAATTTATTTAATACATATGGTAATTTTTTACAAATATTTTTAAATTATAATTTTATCCATCCTTTGTTACCATATTTTCATAATATAACTGATTGTTATTTCCTTAATTATTTTGTGCTTCAAATAATTAGTTTTGACAATTTAAAAAAAATATAATATAATTTTATATATTTAATAATAAATTTAATTTTAATATATAAGAAATTCAATTTGTTAAATTGTTCAAACTAATATGTATTTGTTACTTATATATATAAACTTATATAAAACTTATTCCTGCAAAACATTTAAGTGTGATATTTCTATAATAAAAGATTTTTTAAATATAAGATAGAAAAATTTTAACATAATAATAACAAGTTATGAAAAATTTCTGTTATAATATAATATAACTGTTATTATACAATTATAATAACATTAATTTTTTATCTGCAGGAAAACTGATAGTAATGCAGTTTATATTTAAAAGACAATGAAAAGAATTATAAGCAAATATTATAATTTAACAATCTAATAAAGGAAATAAATTATTACTATGGATAAATTGTTTCTTTTTATTTTAATAATAAGTACCATTTAATTAATATGACAACAAAACTTGATAGTAATATAGTTGCCCTTCATATTTTAGAAAGTAAAGAGGATTATAAGTAAATATCATAGATTCACAATCGGAAATAAACTTTTTAGAGACATATTTTATTAAGTTTTCTTTTAATTTTAGACTTGTTATTTTACACACAACACATGCTCACACTATGCACATATAAAAAAACAAATGCATTAATTTTCCTCAACATCTTGATTATCCGACCATGTAAACCAGCCATAGGTCGAATTATCGAGGTAGCCGAATAATAGAGATAATATTTTATTTTATAGAAAAATATATTTCAGATCAAATAATATCAAGTGCCTTTATCAGCCAATACTGATCAGTGTGTATGTGTATAAATTTATTGTACAATATCAAAAATTAATAAACATTTTGATCGTGAGATTTTATCTAAAATATTTAAGATAAAAGATATTTTATTGATATGCTATCTTATTGATTGTTTTAAATTCTATATAATCAACTCCTGTTCTTCCTCAAATCTTAATTAAATGAAACATAATTGTTTGATACATTGTGGAATAGATGCATGTAAACGAACGTGAGGCACATACAACGCTGATTGAATTGATTGACAATATGAGTGCTTGATAGCAAAATCAAATAATTTGCAGATAATGCGAGGTCGATTAATCAAATTCTTATGTATTTTTATCCTAAAAATTTTAATGAAAAAGCTATCGACTTACTCAAGACTATTAAAAATAATATTTATAAGTCTTTTAACATATAAAATTCTGACATAATTAATGTTATTATTTTCTTGATTGATTCAATCGTGCACAAATATGTATAAGTTACATATATCCTTCCGTCTTCGCGTACCCTGGAAATGGTGGTTGATTAGCACTCATGTCAAAATATGTATATAACTTTTTGGAAATATCAAAACACGTGTTTTACTGTTTTCCGATATCTTCATTTTTAGAAAAATTATTATGGGATTTCTACAATTTTGGAAAATCCTGTACATAAGACTAATTATTGCATGACATTTTATATTAATTTCCGTTACAAATCAATCATCAAATTATGTAAAACAAATTTTCACATAATAATTTGACAGTAATTATACAGATTAACATTGTGTTAATATATTATTATCAAATTTTAACTTGAGGTACAAAAGAATCTAAGATTAATGCATTCCTCCTGGTTAACTATTAGATGCGAAAAGTACTCTGATTTTTTAATAATTTATTCTAATTGTAAATATGATTCTTAATATATTTTTATGTGTTTATAGATATATTAGATTATACATGTATATCAGATTATATATCAGATCTATGATTATGATATAATTAAATCGCAAAATATACATTTTAATATATTAATGTGACAACGTGATGATAACATAAATTTTTACTTCGCAGTTACACACACACACACACATAAACTATTAAACTAAATGTGATTCCACTTTTGCACATAATATAATACCTATATAAGCTCTTCATAGAATTTTTTATTTTTACATTAAAAAAATATTAATAATAAAAGTAATGCATAAATACTCGGTACAATATAAAAATTGTATCTATTTTTCAAGAATAGATTTTGATTTAAAAAATATAAATTTTATATTTAATAAAAAATAAACTATTTTAAATATACATTTTATGAAAATAAAATGCTTAATGCATGTAACTTTTATTACAACATGTCGCAGTTTTATACACGTTTTCATCCGTGACATGTTGTTCAAAATATTTACATATTCAAAATATCTATTTATTTAAAAAATCAGAGAATTTAATATATTTTTTTTCTTAAAACTGCAAAAATTATTATTTTATAATAAAATTATAATTTTATATAAATATTGTAATTCTATAATTTATTAATTTTATAAAAATGTAATTTGGAATTTGAGGAATTGCTATATAGAATTTCTATACGAAAACTAATATATTCTGTATTACTTTCTTTTTTAAATATTCTAATTATTACAACGTTATACCTTTTTAATTAGGTCAAGTTATATTTAAAAAATAGCTTATTATTTAAAAGTAAACTTAAATAATCAATTACCTGTTTTCAACGATAATTTTCTAACGAGTCCTTTATACCATAAAGTTTTCCTCCACTTCGGTCTCACGTTTTGTTTCTCGTGATACAAGGTGTGCAGATGTATGCTAGAATTATACCGCCGCCCAAAACCAGAGCAATCATAGCCAAAGTTGTCCATGGAGTTGAGCTCGAGGTGACGCGAGTTGGCACCAGCTTCTTTATTGCAGGCAATTCGACAACTTCTTCGGTTGTCAAACCCCATCTTCTGGCCTTGGCGATCAGGGATCTCAGGCGTCGTGACGCCTTCTCGCAAGACTTCTTTGACGTCCGCTTAGATAAGCCGTCTAAACAGTTCCCGAAGTGTCCCATAATATCGCGACGTTTCTCATTCTTGAGTCAATTCAAGCGCTACAACAAGTTCCGAACATCGACCGAAACTGTCGAGAAGTCCCAGAATCGAATAATGGTTACGTAAATCAACATGTGAGTCCTATCTTTTTCGCCCAATGCTATATCATGATTTGTACCATTTTCAAGTCGAGGAAAATATATTATATCTTCCGAAATTTAAACAGTTCTCTCAATTTACGCCATGCTCCGTCTCGAAGAAAAATCAATTTCTTCCGATAAATCATTGTATAGGTGATGCGATCTTTGTTCTGACAAGTTTTATTGATCATTATGAGAATTTTTCTGCTGTCGTTTTTGATATAATTATCTCAATAATGCCATTGTCTTTGATATCATTATTAAATGAAATCGTTAGTTTTATAGTATATATAAGAATATCACTTTTATACACTTTCACACTTAGCAATTTGCGTAGCTTCGTTTTCTAACGTCTTTGATACATATTCTTTATAAGAAACACTGTACCCCAAAGGATTATCTAGAATAACGTACAAATAATACGTCAGTACACAACATCTACTTGTAGAAACGAAGAACGAAATGTGTTATGCAGTAACTCAATAAAACTACGTAGCGGAAAATTCAAATAAAATTAATTATGATATTAATTCTCTAAAAATATTATGTAAATTAATGAGCAAAATTTTCTCATCAAAATTTAAATCTCGAATAAATGAACGAGATTAATAAAAACTCCAATAAATGTTTAAACCTGCAAAAGCCAAATAAACATTATAATATAATATAATCCTTGTAGTGCATATTATGAAATAAATTATTATTTCATAATTTCTGTATATTATATATATATATAAAACTCTGTGTAATGCTATTCATGCTGTTGTGAGCGCAAACACTCC